ACCAGGCTGAAGCAAAGAGCAGTCTGCAGTGATGCGGGCGCTGTACCGGTCTGTCGTGGTGAAGAGAACTGAGCCAGAAGGCAAAGCTCTCGGTTTACCGGTTGCTTTACGTTTCTACCTTCATCTATGGTCACAAGCTTTGGGTAGTGACCGAATGAATGAGATCCCAGATACAAATGTCTGAAATGAGTTTCCTCCACAGGGTGTCTGGGCTCTCCCTTAGAGATAGGGTAAGAAGATCAGTCATTCAGGAAAGACTAAAGCCTGAAACATACTCGCTCCGACGCTGACGGGTCGACGCGCGGTCACGTGGTTGTTCGGCATTCATTTTCGCATAGACCTTTCATAGTCCCAGAGACACCCTGCGCCGAGCTCAGGAAACCCCTCCCGCTGCAGCACACGTCACTGCATGGAGTTCCTTCAGGCTACAGCCGACAATGCAGAAAAAAAAGTCAGACTCGTCACTCACCTGACGTATTTATCCACATCTGTCCTGGTTTAGCTCCACAGTTTTTATCAGTCAGATTCCTCCGTGCACAACGTCTGTTTAATCTCCATTCACGAGTTTTTCACAGTTTGACTATCTTTATAAAACTCTGCTTCCTGGTAGTCGGTTCTGGAAGCAAGTTGGGGGTTTTTTCTTTCCTTTTTTTTTACCGAGTGGTTGAAGTCAGCGTAGCGCTTTCAGCACAGACAAACACGGCATGAGTTTTTCTTGGTTTGACTATCTTTATAAAACTCTGCTTCAACAGTCGGCTCTAGAAGCAAGTTTTTTTTTTCTTTTGAGTGTCCGAGTGCTTTCAGTTTCAGCACAAACATGCCCACGAACTTCAGACCAATCAAACACTACCGTCGACATGGGAGGGGGGTCAAAAGTTCTGCTGGCGGGTTGAGCTGATGCTGAGAAGCCTTTTAACGTAATTTTCGTCATTAAACTGCGACAACCCGTGCAGAGGAAGTATGTTTCCAGCTTCAGAGTGGAGCCGCTGCTCCTCCACGTCGAGAGGAGCCAGTTGAGGTGGTTCATCTGGTTAGGGTGCCTCCTGGACGCCTCCCTGGTGAGGTGTTCCGGGCACGTCCCACTGGGAGGAGACCCAGAGGAAGACCCAGGACACGCTGGAGGGACTATGTTTCTCGGCTGGCCTGGGAACACCTTGGGATTCCCCAGGATGAGCTGGCCCAAGTGGCTGGAGAGAGAGAAGTCTGGGTCTCTCTGCTTAGACTGCTGCCTTTTTTGTATTGCTGCATTTTTGGTTCCAACGCACTTTTTGGATCTACCTTAGCAGCACTTCCAGTGCAGGTCAAGCTGAAAGTTGACTTTACAATGGGGAAGGGGTTTTTGAACATGGGTCCCATGTAAGGCATGGACAAGTGTATGTGTAATAAGTGTTTGTGTGTGTCCACATAAAGTGGGAAAATTAGTATGCATTTTTGACATGTGTACATGTGTACTTATATTTGTTCCTTTGGGTTAACTAAATTTGGCAGTTTTCCCCAG